GCTTCTTCTACGACTACTACCGTCTCTGCTGTGTGATCTTGATGGCTGCGCGTGGTACTGGACTTTTAGTGAAGCTATTTCTCGTGTTAATTCTGCCATTTGCTTTGCCATCTCCGTAATGTAGCTTCTACAACCTAACGCACAAACCTGAGGTGCCTGTGGTACTATGTCATGTACCTTGTCCGCTAGGTCGCCAACTCATTCAACGTGGCACTAGGTTGCGACGCGATAACGGTCTGTTAACTGGTAGGTAACCGGCTGGTCCACACTGTTTTCAGAAATTCTTCCATCACAATTTTTACCGGCTAGCGTCCTCAAATGTCGCAAAAATTGTGATGGTTTCCTCTCACCTAGTTCCTCGTGTTTCAGCAGTTGCAACAGCTTTTTTTCTTGCGAAGCTGACAATCTCACTATAAGCTCGTTTTTCAGTTCTAAATATTTATTTTCCGCTGGAGGATTATTAATAATTTCTTTTACTATCACAGCATATTGATGTTCCAATTGCCCAATTACATAATTAAACTTTGTTGAGTCACTCGTGATTCCAGACAAGGAAAATTGTGCCTCCATTTGCGAGAACCATAAGGCGGGTTCCTCTGGCCAAAATGGCGGCGCGCGTACAGAAACTTTAAACACTGAACCGTTATCGATGTTGTCGGTTTCGATGCCTGTAGGTCTGCCGCTTATTACTTTACCGGATCTATTTGCTTCCATTGTGTTTTGCGTTGTTCACTCGTAAATAACAGTCGATATTGTCCAACGTCGGGGTCACCAGTATAGTGTGGTAAGCGGGCGTGGCAAATAACAACTACGCAAATAAGTCCACACTATGTATTTAAAGTTCAAACAGAGCACAAGCGAAGTACAGACGTGAGCACAAGAGAAATAGAAAGTTAGAATAGAGGCAAGAAACAAAGGAAAGGCGATAAAAACATAAAAACAATAAGCTGTGTATAAGCACTCGCGTAACTATATCGTAAGGAAGCTGAGACATGCATTCGCCGTCGCGGACGTGATGGCACTGTTGGTCGCCGGCCGGCGCCGGCGCTTGCCTTCTCGCTGCTTCGAGTATGTCCTCTCTTTCCTACGCCGCGCCCTTTGTTGACCGCGCGCGCGGCGTAGGAAATTTCCATATATGGTCTCCTCACTTATACGGAGGGACCTGCCCATTTGTGCAACAGCCGAAGCTGTTACCCGGCCCTACCACAGTTAATACACATGTACTATGTATAAATTAGCAATTAACCGTATGAAATCTGTAATGCTGTTGGATGAACTCATGAATTTAGATGGATGACTCGTGGGTTCGATTCCCACACGGGACAACTATTTGTGTGACCCACAGATAGTCGTTTCGCATCTGGGTGTTTTACCGAGTGAAAAATATGTTTGCAGAACGTCCCTACAACACAGGATAATGATAAAGTGAGGGCAATGTTTTCAAAAAACAAAAAGATGGCAACTTGGTTAAAGGCTCATCTGAAGGCAAGGCGTGGGCCGCCGCCAATGGATGCTAAGGTACCGGACATATCACGGGCGAGCTACTGCAAGAGTGAGGGTCCGGCTACATGGCCGTCCAATCGAAACACCAAATTAGGTGTTTTTACTTTTTGAAGATTTTCGTAAGGCTATGGTGCTACAGCAGTTGGACCGTGCATCAATTCGGACAGAAGAGCTTTTAAGTACGCTCTCGTTGCACCAATACAATAAATAATGGGTTCAATCATATTTAACCGTCGCAGTTCCCTGTATTCAGTGAATTGTACCACACTTTCAGTTTATTTAGTACTTTCAATCCTGATCAACGGAAGAATGGCTCAGAGACGAAATCAAGCGGATTTTCATAATTTTCATTTATAATTACCGCTAATAGTGCGGTATTAGATATGATAGTATTCAATTGCTTATTGGAGGCTTCTGCTTCTAATAAATTGCATATAAATAAAATGTCTTATAGTTTTCGATAGTCAGAATATGAACATTTGAAATCTTAAGCACAGAGAGAAGTGTACAACCAGTACCTATATGGTATATCAAAAAATTATATGGTCATTAGGGTATTTGATACGTTTGAATAACATAGGCGACGATATTATGGAAAACTAATACAAAGAGATTAACATTCCTTTGATGAAAGCCGCCCACGGGTAAGCCACCCACACTAGTAGTCAATAATATCCGCCCACGGGTAAGCCACACAGTAATAGTCAAGAAAAAGCGATCTTTAATGGAAGGAAACGAGGCGCAAATATTTTAATACTAATGTCAGTCATCTCAATATTACAATTTTAACTATTATAATCACTATATACACATTTTGTAAAAACATGTAATAGCAACAGGCTATCCCACAAATAGTAAAAATTCGTTTAATCTCTTATCGTTAAATTAAACGCCTTCGTCAGGACAAAGTTAACGACGACAGCTATCTAAGGCAGATTCCATCGCTTGATTAAGAAAGGGGAGACATAAGTTACTTCACACAATGTGGCAGTTAAGTTAACAAAAATGATAGAGAGTATAATCAATTTACAATTTTGTAATCATAAAATAAATGAACTACCTGTGAAGAGCAAAACGCTTAACGCTTTTCTTTTTTATTAAAACACGCACTACTACAGGATAGCGATAGATTTGTTTGCGGCGAAGAAACGTTTACCTTTTGGAAACTTGTTTATTTGCCTCGATTAGGGAGTGCTTCATTATGTTAGGTAAACTCTGAAAGCTTACTTTAATAAACATCATCAACACTAAACAGACATAACGAAAGACAAGTCGAAATTTGCAAATATTAATTAAATATAAAAACAATACGTATTATGTCCATTATGACAAAGAAACAAATAATTAATCCCTTAAGTATACTTGTCATACACTACAAACTAAGTATTGTTATAAGAATAAAGACCCAGAGAACACTGAGTCAGCTACACTTTATTAAGTTTCGTTGACGACGTGCACGTCGGGAACAGATGTTGCAACACTTGCAAATATGAAGGAAATTTTTAGTTAAAAAGTCACTTCGAGTACTTGGAATTAATGTATGTTATTTGAACCTGAAAAATTTTTTGAAGTTAGAACAAAACTATAAACCATTCGGTACTCGCGACTTCAATAGGCATTAATACTGTCCAAGTTTCATGGAGCTTACTTAGTGAAACACTGAATCAATTTCAATAAAAGAATTTATATGTCATAGGTCTTTTGTTTAACCTGTATAATAAATAAATAGGAAATTATTATTTTTTTCAGTTTAAACAACTATCATGCCAAATGTTCAGGAATGGCTTCTTAAACAAACTTACGTCCAAAAAGAAAAGCTTTTAGATGTCATGTTGTAATTTCATTTTAACAAATGCACAACACACAACACTTAAAAGTAACATATATGTAGCTGCGTGATTGTTATTTTTTGTTATACATAAATACAGATAACAAAAAATAACAATCACGCAGAGTTTCTCGCCGGTTCTTCTCTGGACAGGTCTAGTTTAGTGAAACGGTGGTAGCTTTTTTCAGTAAGAGCATTAAACTATGCCTACATTGAATAATGAGAGTAGTAACTTTGACATTGAGATACACAAGAAACCATTTAAAATGAAAACTGCGTAATATATTTTAAAGGCCATTTTATATAAAAGTGAGTGCGGAAAATGCACGCGGAGGGTGAAATAACAAGCCTGACATTTCGCATTATTGTATATTTATGGAACGAACTAGAAGGCTACAACTTAAGAGACTGCCGGAAGCCGGGCAATTCAATTTAAGACTGTCTTGAGCACGAAGTACCGTAATACTAGAGTATAGAATTTAAAGGTGTACAAAATAGGAAAATATGATAATAGTAGTGATTGTTAATATACCATAGTTTTAGCTGTAAGAGCTCAATGTGCTGACGCTATTTAATTAATTATACTCGAACAAGCTGCTTTCAAATCCCGGTGCCAGCACCAATCTTATCCTTTAAACGAGCAATTCTTGTATATATATATATATATATATATATATATATATATATATAAATCGGAATCTCGGAAACGGCTCCAGTGATTTTCATGAAATTTAGTATGTGCATAGATTCGGGGGCGAAAAATCGATCTAGCTAGGTTTCATTTTCAGAAAATGTCCTTTTATCCCTGTTTTCAGGGAATGAAAAATATAATTCGGATATGACGGTAAATTTCGCCGCAAGAGAAAATGTCATAATAGCTCGGTCGGTAATGGGGCGGCCCCAAAACAGACGGCCGTGGTTCGCGTCACGATCATTTACACGTTTTTTTTTACTTTATTTTCGATTACAGATCATTGGTTTCTTTATTTTTAATTTTTTGTCGATTTGTTATTTTGTTATTTTTTTCCCTTTATCTTAAAGTTCTTTCTTTTGTGAAAAACATCAGTTCATATTTTCTTATTATTTCGTCGGTAAGATCGAAAAATATTATCCTTATTTCATTAAGCACTAATTTGTATCTAAATGTAATTTCCAAAATACACGATTTAAAAAAAAAAACAAACCGAGCAAAGCTCGGTCCTCCGGGTACTGAAATTGTTAAAGGTAAATGAAAACATCGTGAGGAAACCTGCATATTTTAGAAATAATAATAATAGAAATATTTATATTAATTATATTTGTAAATTTAATGATCAACAGATGCTTGTTACCGACCACGTGTGGAATTTATGTTAGTAAACCTTCATTTATTTTACCACAACAGATCATAATCGAACCGAGCGTCAGGTTTTGTTATTGCTCTTATTATTTTTAAAGTTGAAGTTTTATACAAAACAAATAAAAAAAGAAGCATCAAAATTGGTTCACTCAGTCGAAAGTTCTGAGGTCTTGTTACCTCAATATAAAAAAAATACAGTCGAATTGAGAACCTACTCCGTTTTCGAAGTCGGTTGAAAATTGCTGCGAACGCAGAGGCCATCCGGACGAAGTCTTAACGGAGCGCTCGATAAGCGAAGATAAGGCGGATAGAAAACGTGTTCGCAGCGAGATGAGGACGGCTCCGCGGTACCGAAGGCCGGCCGACGTGACACGGTTATCCGTGGGCGACCCAAAGTCGGTCCATTCAAACGACAGCAGAACCGATCGAAGCGGGTATGCGCGCGCACCCCACCACGTCAGCCCCCATACGGCTGAAGGCGGCTCGAGCATACTTACGACGCCACAGGTCTCGTTGAATGGGAAAGAATTTAAAACGCCCGTAGATCAATCACGCTCCGTTCCCGACTTAAAATTGTTTATGGCATCGGAATGAGGTAATAACGGAAGGCAGAGATGTTTTTAATTTCATATTACATGTAGTAAAAAAAGATAATACTGATTAATTTGTTATCCTTCTTATAAAATTACAAAGGTAATCTAATTTTGACGCCTTTGTCATGTTACTTTTGTTCTAATTATTAATTAACTATGCGGAAAAAATAAAATTGGAGGAAACGAAGTTTGACAATACAGGTACACATAAAAAAAGGAACTTGCACAATGAAAATTGTGCAAGGATAGTTCATGTGCTCGACAGTTTTTGACGAAAAGAAATCCAATCACCGTGACACAAAAAACTAGGACGACAAGATTTTAAGCGACGTGTTTCATTACAGGCGGAATATGATAGAAAAAAAACCGAGGACTCATAAAGCAGCAAAAATGTTATCACGTGTTTCTGGTACTGTGCATTACTTATGATTGTCTTGACTTAATAACTTCTTCCCGCTTAGTCATTGCAGAATTCTATTTTTCATTCGACATAATTGAAGCTTCGATATTCTTTATTTTCAAGAAATAATTAATATATTTCCTATAGCATAACCCCTCATCGTAGATTTCGTAGTCTTAACGAGGTATGCGGATAAAGGTTGCTGAATAAACCTCGGTGCCAATTTCTTTTATCTATTGATGGGTAGATTAAGACTATTCACTATAGCTGGCGCAATGCGGCTATACAGATAGAATATAAATATTATATAATACATATTAACATATTTACATATTCCACATATTATATATTTTTATAAGCCTCGAACTAAAACAATTTAATGAAATTACATACAACGAAATTTTATTAATAAGTGTAAGAATAGCGGAGCCTACTTTAACTCTTAGTTTGTATTGTAACAACTAGCCACAAGGCGTACAGTTAATAGTGCGCAGCATATTGGTCAATAAAAATTAAACATAACACAAAATTGTCCCCGGTAGGGATGGAGATGCTTCTGCTGTGCACAAATGACCAGGGCTCCGGGTTCTAAGTCTCTGACACACAATGTGTGTCGTAAAAGGTAACTTACTTGTAACTTGGAATAATCATACATCTGAATTTTGTCTGATGAAGAATCAAGGCCCAATTCTTTTTAAACTTCCGCTTGTCACTATATTATAATAAAAAAAAGTTAATTAAAAAGAATTATAAAATCCATCACTGGCATTCGGTATGCGTTGACGACTTGGCAGAAACAGATCGCATTGCAAATTAGGCCTTAATAAAAATATGCGAGGATAGATTTTCAGTTGTGACTAAACACTTTCAATGGTCAATCCATTGAAAGTGTTTAGTCACAACTGCAAACACGGTGAGTTCACGCTGCGTGTTTGGATGCGCCCCCTCAATTATAATCCTAATAAAGCTGACGCAAGAAAGAGGTTTGCTCTGTTTGCAATTAGGCCGAATTGCTTCCGCTATTGCGGTAGTGTTCTACGTGGTGACCTCAGATACTAATTAAGTTCTCAGATATTAATAAAGTATTGAAACTTAAGATATAATGGTGAAGCTAGATCGATCATTTTAAAATGGAGATTATATTACAAAACAGGAACAAATAAACTTAAGGAAAATGCAAGTGCTAATAGAAATAAAACAACGTAGGATTAGGTCTCCAACTAGGAAGTTATATTAGATAAGAAATTTTATTGAGAAGACTCAGGTCTGTCAAACTATTGGTCTGTAAGTGTCAATTATATAAGTGGTATTTATTGCGTTTGTGTATATTTGATTAAAAATCATTTTAATTCACGAAATAGGTTTGAAATGCCGAATAAAATTATAAATACTCAGTTATTGCAAATACATTATTCTATTAAAAGCAAAGTAAAGCAATAACTGGGTAACAAAGATAATTTAAAATAGGTACATCTTGGAAAAAGAAAACTGTATTTTCTAAAGTGATTTGGTACCTAATTTGGAAGAGTGCACAATGTTTTGTTTAGGTCATAGTATCATGAAAAGGTACTGTTCATGATACTATGACCTAAAAAAATATGCAAAAAAATAAGCTTTTCTTGTTTTATGAGCAGATAACATAATGCAACATTAGGATGTACTGATGTCACTTTTAAATGTTCCTCGTACTATTAATTAGTAACATTTGGAGGTTATTAATTATGCTCATCAAATTGATTCAGCATGAAATTTTAATAACATATATTAAATTACATGGTTGATTCATATTTTAAATAAAAAAATATATGGTTGCTTTGCATTTCATGTGTTTGACCTTTTAATATTCACTTCCAACTTTGACCTCTCGTCCCAACAAGACTTAATTTGGAGCGAAGCTAATTGGATTTGTTGGGCGTTTTTTAGTTCGCGTCATACGTAAAATAAAGTCACAATTCAAAATTCTATTAAGAACTGCAATTTTTTGATTTTCAATGAATCATATTTAAGCTGTTATTAATTTGTGTAAATGAACGGGTATGGATGTTGTTGTTACAACTATAGTATAGTATAATATAATATAACTTGCGTTTTTCTCTGTTGGAATGGTACATACAAAGAAAACGCAAGAATATTTGAAAATTTAAAAAGTGCCAAATAAAATTAAACCAATCTCTTACTACAACAAATGAGAATAACGGTAAAATTAATTCCACTTCGCTATCTTTTATTTAAAATTTGAAATGGTTTTTAGAACATTAACATTCACAGAACATTCTAATCAATAAGATCATTCTGATAATTAAATAGAGTTTAACAATCCTTTTGGCAACTCATATAACATTTCCATGGACATCTACTACACCCGAGGGTTCCAGATGCGTTGACAACTTTTTGAGAATTGAGCTCCGCCCACATCACTCACCAGACGAAACGCAAAAGTTTTATTATACTTCCGGTCTTCTGTGAGGTCGTGGTACTTTCCCGGACGACCTGCCCATTCGTGCAGAAGCCGACGCTGCTGTGTGGCCCTACCACCGTTAAGTTATAGCGTTTCGACAAAAAAAAAAAAGACTAAGAATAATATATTGAGATTACATGTAATTGCACAGGTCGTCATTCCATCTAGTGGGGGGTCGTCCTACACTGCGATGGCCAGTACGAGGCTGCCACTCGAGAACCTTTCTTCCCCAAAGGTTATCGGTTCTACGAGCTATATGGCCGGCCCATCGCCACTTCAGCTTGCTAATCGATGTCTTCGTTACGAACTCTATCACGCAGAGAAATACCGAGCATAGCCCGCTCCATAGCTCGCTGAGCGACTTTGAGCTTCCTCATACGGCCACCAGCAGTGAAGGACCACGTCACGGTTCCGTAGGTCATCACTGGCAACACACATTGATTGAAGACTTTAGTCTAAGACTAAGTCAATGTTTGAAGACTAAGTCTTCAAACATTGAGGTATATTCGACGAGAAGATTTGCCGATGTGCGGGAAGTCGATGGATGCAGGTGGCTCAGGATCGTGCTTCATGGCAGTCTGTGGGGGAGGCCTATGTTCAGCAGTGGACTCAAACAGGCTGAAATGATGATGATGATATGTAATTGCATTTAACTTCTTTTTTACAAAGAAAGTTGTATTAACTACTACTCAATGAGTCCATCCGTTTTCGTGTTTTATCAACGAACACTTCATTTTTATTTTCATTCACCATAAACTAATTTTAATTAGGGTAAAAATACTTTCGACAATTTATGCTACAAAAATAATACATTATGTGGAGGCTTATGAGGAAAACGAAAGATCAAAGAAGAGATGAATGTACTATGTTGAAGTGAATATGGTAAAGGAGGAAATAAATGTTGAAAAACCAATTCAAATGAAAAAAAAATGGATAACATGTTCTGAATACAAGTAATAGGAAAAAGGCGAAACAGATGATAAATCGATATGAATCTTTTGCTTTTATAATGTGAACTCTAAAGCATACATATCTGACACGCGCAGAAAGAAATTTGTACAAAAGTACAATGAGAACGTAGAAACTTGTTATGTATTTATTACAAAATTTCTCACGCGACGAGAATATTAGAATAGCTTTACTACAAATTGAAATATTATGGGTCCCATTTCAATTGAAGGAGATTTCCAAGTATTTTAATATTTATATAGGGCAAGCTATAAAAGGACTGGTGGTGGGCGTGATACAATTATCCGGGGTCGAAGGCGCCCGACTGTCTGTCGGCAGATTATTATTGCTCGGAGCGGGGATCCAGTTCAAGGAAATAGGTTTCAGTATTAAACGGCAGTTTTTTGGCATCCTTCGGAACACGACTGAGACGCTTAACTCTACTTACTCTACTTTAAACAATTTTATGCTTTACTGTTAACGCACATGTTTAAAATTTAAACGAATTCGTGAATGGGTTCAGGCATACACGTATTTAACATGTATGATTTACAATTTACGGCGTAGGGTGAAATAGACAGCGGAGTTTTAGTAAGAGCGTCCTATTATACCTTTTGGATACAGAACCCTAAAAACGCAAGCTTTATTAAAGACAGTGCCCTTTATTGGCTTATATTTTATAAGTTAAAAACGATATATTAAACAGTGTGGCTGTTATTAATAGACCGATAAGTATACAGATCGACATTTTAACAGCGAACACATAATGTCTTTATATATAAAATTCTACTGTACGTGTGTTGTCACTATACTCCTCCTAAACGGCTGGACCGATTTGAATGATTTTTTTGTATGCGTGGTGGCGCCCTTTTTTATGCGAAAAGTTGTCAAACGAGCAGACGGTTCACCTGATGTTAAGTGAATACCGCCGCCCATGGACATCTGCCACACCCGAGGGTTACAGATGCGTTGACAACCTTTTGAAAATTGGGCTCCGGCTACCTCACTCACCAGACGAAACGCGAAAGTATTCGTCATACTTCAACTTTACGCCGGTCTAAATGATTTTGATTCACAATCCGATAACAACATAAATAAAACAAATTTTTTTTTGTTTTATTTATGTTGTTATCGGATTTAAGTCGTTTGTATTGGACAACGTCTGCCCGGACCGCTAATGTATGTATATACC